TGAGGCTTCTGGTGACGTGTGCAGATGTAGGCCCTGCATTTCCTGAGGTGAAGTCTGGAGAGGTTGATATGTCTGGTGTAGCTCGAGGTGGGTTACTCCTGCTGGAAGCAGATGGAGTAGTTATTTTGCCGGAGGAGGATATTCCCCAAGAAACTGTCTGTGTCGGAGTGGGTACACTCCGGGAGAAGGAAAGAGATGATGGCGTGACCTCTGTGAGGGTGGTGTGAGGTGTGCTGCCGGTCTCCATGCTTCCGTTGTGGATGCTCTGAGAAGATGGTGAATATTCCTGAGTATAGGTGATGGGGGTGGTCACCGTTGACAGGACATTTGCTGAGCTTGTCACTGAGATGTTGGTCATGACAGACGTGGAACTGTGAGAAACTGTTGGAGATTTGGTTCCAGTATTTCCTGAGCTAGAGACTGTAGAGACTGATGCCATTGGCATCTCTGACATGGTTGCATTTGTATGGATAATGCTGGAAGTGGATAGGTTGTTTGTGTCATTTGGAGATGATGGCCTGTGAGACACCGTCTGTTCAGAAGTTGAGCCACTTGGGGTGGTTGAAAAAGTTGATATGGTCACCTCTGTGAGTGTGGTCTGAGGTGTGCTTCTGGTCCCCATGCTTTCAGTGTGCAGAGTCTGAGAAGATGTTATCAGTTTCTGAGTCATGGTGATGGGTGTTGTGATCGTAGACAGGACTTTTGGTGAATTTGTCATTGAGACATCAGTATTGACAAGTGTGGAACTTTGAGAAACTGTTGGAGATGTGGTTTCTGCATTTCCTGAGTTGGAGTCTGTAGAGAGTGCTGTTGTCGGCACCTCTGATGACGTTGGGCTTGTGTTAATGACAGTAGAAGACAAGCTGGCTGTTTCCCCTGAAGATGATGTCAGTTGGGACATTGCCTGGGCAGGAGTTGAGCCACTTGGGGAAGTTGAAAAGGTCGATGTGGTTACCTCAGTGTGTATGGTTTGAGGTGTGCTGCTGGTGTCCATGCTTCGAGTATGAAAAGTCTGAGAAGATGTTGTCAGTTCCTGAGTGGAAGTGATGGGTGTTGACACAGTGGACAGTTCCTGTGGTGAAGATGTCATTGAGAACTGTGTGGCAGCAGATGGAGAACTTGGAGTAACTACAGCACTTGTGTGCCGCAAGTCTACTGAGGGGGTTTCAGTGGAGGGCATACTTGGAGGTGAACTGCCCATGGTGGGAGCATACAGGGAGGTTGTTTCCCCAGGAGAAGGAGTTCTCTGGGATGCTACCTGTGTCACAGTGGGTCCCCTAGGGGAAGATGAATGAGTTGGTGTGGACACCTCTGTGAGGGGGGTTTGAGATGGTCTGCTGGTCACAATGCTCTCAGTGTGGTCATTGTGAGAAGATGCTGACAATTCCTGAGTAGAGGTGATGGGAACTGACACTGTTGAAAGTTCCTGTAGTGAAGATGTAACTGAGGTTTCTGTGGTAGTCTCTGAAGAGCTTTGGATAATGTCTGGAGCTGTGCTTCCAGGAGCAGATCCTCTAGAGGGTGTTGTGATAGGTACCTCTGATGAGGTTGGGATTTTGTTGGTGACAGCAGAACTGGAGGGGACGGGTGTTTCATCTGGAGAGGAAATCCCATGGGACACAGTCTCTGCTGCAGTTGAGCCACTGGGGGAAGGTGAGAGAGATGATGTGGTCACCCCGGAGACTGTGGTTTGAGCTGTGCTGCTGTTCTCTGTGTTCCTAGGGACGTCATTCGGAGATGTTGACAATTCCCCAGTAGCGGTGATAGGTGATGTCACTGTTGAAAGGACATTTGGTGAATTCGTCATTAAGCCATCAGTATTGACAGGTACAGAACTTTGAGAAAAAGTTGATGATGTGGTCTCAGTATTTCCTGAGGTGGAATCTGTAGAGAATGCTGCCGTTGACACCTCTGATATGGTTGGTTTGTTGTTGGAGGCACTGGAGTTGGAGAGGTTCGTAGTTTCTTCTGGAGATGGTATCCCTTGGGATACTGTCTGTGCAGGAGTTGAGCCACTTGGGGAAGTTGAAAAACTAGATGTGGTCACCTCTGTGAGTGTGGTTTGAGGTGTGCTGCTGGTCCCCATGTTTTCAGTGTGAAGATTCTGAGATGTTGACAATTCCTGAGTAGCAGTGATGGGTGTTGTGACTGTTGAGAGGACATTTGGTCCCTTCGTCATTGACACATCAGTATTAACAGGTATAGAACTTTGAGAACCTCTTGGGGGTGTGATTCCTGTATTTCCTGTGGTGGAATCTGTAGATAACGGTGCTGTTGGAGCCTCTGATATGGTTGTTTTGGTATTGGTGATGATGGAGGTGAATAAGTTGGTTGTTTCTTCTGGAGTTGAAGTCCCTTGGGATGCTGTCTGTGCAGGAGGTGAGCCACTTGTGAAAGGTGGAAAAGATGATGTGGTCACCTCTGTGAGTGTGGTCTGAGGTGTGCTGCTGGTCCCCATGTTTTCAGTGTGCAGTTCTTGAGTCATGGTGATGGGTGTTGTGATCGTAGACAGGACTTTTGGTGAATGTGTCATTGAGACATCAGTATTGACAAGTGAGGAACTTTGAGAAACTGTTGGAGATGTGGTTTCTGCATTTCCTGAGTTGGAGTCTGTGGAGAGTGCTGCTGTCGGCACCTCTGATGACGTTGGGCTTGTGCCGATCACAGAAGAAGACAAGCTTGCTGTTTCCCCTGGAGATGATGTTCCTTGGATCGCTGTCTGTGCAGGAGGTGAGTCACTTGAGGAAGTTGAAAATGTTGAATTGGCCACCTCTGTGTGTGTGATTTGATGTGTGCTGCTGGTGTCCATGCTTCCAGTGTGCAGAGTCTGAGATGAGATCAGTTCCTGAGTGGAAGTGATGGGTGTTGACACAGTGGACGGTTCCTGTGGTGAAGATGTCATTGAGAACTGTGTGGCAGCAGATGGAGAACTTGGAGTAACTACAGCACTTGTGTGCCGTGTGTCTACTGAGGGGATTTCAGTAGAGGGCAAAGTTAGAGGTGAACTGCTCCTGGTATCAGCATACACAGAGGTTGTGTCTCCAGGAGTAGGAGTCCTCTGGGACTCTGCTTGTGTCACCGTGGGTCCCCTAGGGGAAGATGAATGAGTATATGGGGACAACTCTGTTATGGGATTTTGAGGTGGGCTGCTTGTCACAATGCTCTCAGTGTGGTCATTGTGAGAAGATGCTGACAATTCCTGACTAGAGGTGATGGGAACTGACACTGTTGAAAGTTCCTGTGGTGAAGATGTAACTGAGGTTTCTGTGGCAGTTCCTGAAGAGCTTTGGATAATGTCTGGAGCTGTGCTTCCAGGAGCAGATCCTATAGAGGGTGCTGTGGTGGGCACCTCTGATGTGGTTGGGAATGTGTTGGTGACAGCAGAACTGGAGGGGACGGGTGTTTCATCTGGAGAGGAAATCCCATGGGACACAGTCTCTGCTGCAGTTGAGCCACTGGGGGAAGGTAAGAGAGATGATGTGGTCACCCCGGAGACTGTGGTTTGTGCTGTGCTGCTGGTCTCTGTGTTCCTAGGGACGTCATTCGGAGATGTTGACAATTCCAGAGTAGCAGTGATAGGTGATGTCACTGTTGAAAGGACATTTGTTGAATTCGTCATTAAGCCATCAGTATTGACAGGTACAGAACTTTGAGAAAAAGTTGGCAATGTGGTCTCAGTATTTCCTAAGGTGTAATCTGCAGAGAATGCTGCTGTTGATACCTCTGATATGGTTGGTTTGGTATTGGTGACACTGGAGGTGGAGAAGTTGGTAGTTTCTTCTGGAGATGGTATCCCTTGGGATGCTGTCTGTTCAGGAGTTGAGCCACTTGGGGAAGGAGAAAAACTTGATGTGGTCACCTCTGTGTGAGTGGTTTGAGGTGTGCTGCTGGTCTCCATTGTTTTAGTGTGGAGGTTCTGAGAAGATGTTAACAATTCCTGAGTAGCAGTGATGGGTGTTGTTACTGTTGACAGGACATTTGGTGAATTTGTCATTGACACATCAGTATTAACAGGTATAGAACTTTGAGAAGCTGTTGGGGATGTAACTCCTATATTTCCTGAGATGGAATCTGTAGAGAATGCTGCTGTTGAAGCATCTCGTATGGTTGGTTTGGTGTTGGTGACTATTGAGGTGAATACATTGGTTGTTTCTTCTGGAGAAGATGTCCCCTGGGATGTTGTCTGTGCAGGAGGTGAGCCACTTGTGAAAGGTGAAAAAGTCGATGTGGTCACCGCTGTGAGTGTGGTTTGAGGCGTGCTGCTGGTCTCCATGCTTCCAGTGTGGAGGTTCTGAGAAGCCTCAGTAGCAGTGATGGGTGTTGTCACCATTGACAAGACATTTGTGGAACTTGTTTTTGACACATCAGTATTGACAGGTGTGGAACTTGGAGAAACTGTTGGCGATGTGATTCCTGTATTTCCTGAGGAGAACTCTATAGAGAATGCTGTTGTTGGCTCCTCTGACATGGTTGAGTTTGTGTTGAGGATGGTGGTAGTGAGAAGATCAGTTGTTTCAGCTGGAGATGATGTCCCATGGGACAGTGTCTGTGCAGGAGGTGAGCCACTTGGGGAAGGAGAAAAACTTGATGTGGTCACCTCTGTGTGTGTGGTTTGAGGTGTGCTGCTGGTCTCCATAGTTTCAGTGTGGAGGCTCTGAGAAGATGTTGGCAATTCCCGAGTGGAAGTGATGGGTGTTGTGACTGTTGACAGGACATTTGGTGAATTTGTCATTGACACTTCAGTGTTGACAGGTATAGTACTTTCAGAAACTGTTGGCGATGTGATTCCTGTATTTCCTGGGGTGGAATCTGTAGATAATGGTATTGTTTGAACCTCTGATATGGTTGGTTTGGTGTTGGTGAAACCAGAGATGAATACATTGGCTGTTTCTTCTGGAGATGATGTCCCTTGGGATGTTCTCTGTGCAGGAGGTGAGCCACTTGTAAAAGGTGGAAAAGTTGATGTGGTCACCGCTGTGAGTGTGGTTTGAGGTGTGCTGCTAGTGTCCATGCTTCCAGTGTGGAGGTTCTGAGAAGATGCTGGCAATGCCTGAGTAGAAATGATGGGAGATGTCACATTTGATAGGAAATTTGGAGAACTTGTCTTTGAGCCAGAAGTACTGTGAGAAACAGTTGGAGTTGTGGTCCCTGTATTTTCTGAGGTGGAATCTGTAGAGGATACTTCTATTGGGACCTCTGATGGGGTTTGGTTTGGGTTGGTGACGCTGGAAGTATATAGGTTGGTTGTTTCTTCTGTAGATGGTATCCCTTGCGATGCTGTCTGTGCAGGAGGTGAGTCACTTGTGGAAGTTGGAAGAGTTGATGTGGTCACCTCTGTGTTTGTGCTTTGAGGTGTGCTGCTGGTCTCTGTATTTCCAGGGTGGCCATTCTGAGATGTTAACAATTCCTTAGTAACAGTGATAGGTGATGTCACCGTTGACAGCACATTTGTTGAATTCGTCATTAAGTCATCAGTATTGACAGGTACAGAACTTTGAGAAAAAGTTGGCAATGTGGTCTCAGTATTTCCTAAGGTGTAATCTGTAGAGAATGCTGCTGTTGGTACCTCTGATATGGTTGGTTTGGTATTGGTGACACTGGAGGTGGAGAAGTTGGTAGTTTCTTCTGGAGATGGTATCCCTTGGGATGCTGTCTGTTCAGGAGTTGAGCCACTTGGGGAAGGAGAAAAACTTGATGTGGTCACCTCTGTGTGAGTGGTTTGAGGTGTGCTGCTGGTCTCCATTGTTTTAGTGTGGAGGTTCTGAGAAGATGTTAACAATTCCTGAGTAGCAGTGATGGGTGTTGTTACTGTTGACAGGACATTTGGTGAATTTGTCATTGACACATCAGTATTAACAGGTATAGAACTTTGAGAAGCTGTTGGGGATGTAACTCCTAAATTTCCTGAGATGGAATCTGTAGAGAATGCTGCTGTTGAAGCATCTCGTATGGTTGGTTTGGTGTTGGTGACTATTGAGGTGAATACATTGGTTGTTTCTTCTGGAGAAGATGTCCCCTGGGATGTTGTCTGTGCAGGAGGTGAGCCACTTGTGAAAGGTGAAAAAGTCGATGTGGTCACCGCTGTGAGTGTGGTTTGAGGCGTGCTGCTGGTCTCCATGCTTCCAGTGTGGAGGTTCTGAGAAGCCTCAGTAGCAGTGATGGGTGTTGTCACCATTGACAAGACATTTGTGGAACTTGTTTTTGACACATCAGTATTGACAGGTGTGGAACTTGGAGAAACTGTTGGCGATGTGATTCCTGTATTTCCTGAGGAGAACTCTATAGAGAATGCTGTTGTTGGCTCCTCTGACATGGTTGAGTTTGTGTTGAGGATGGTGGTAGTGAGAAGATCAGTTGTTTCAGCTGGAGATGATGTCCCATGGGACAGTGTCTGTGCAGGAGGTGAGCCACTTGGGGAAGGAGAAAAACTTGATGTGGTCACCTCTGTGTGTGTGGTTTGAGGTGTGCTGCTGGTCTCCATAGTTTCAGTGTGGAGGCTCTGAGAAGATGTTGGCAATTCCCGAGTGGAAGTGATGGGTGTTGTGACTGTTGACAGGACATTTGGTGAATTTGTCATTGACACTTCAGTGTTGACAGGTATAGTGCTTTCAGAAACTGTTGGCGATGTGATTCCTGTATTTCCTGGGGTGGAATCTGTAGATAATGGTATTGTTTGAACCTCTGATATGGTTGGTTTGGTGTTGGTGAAACCAGAGATGAATACATTGGCTGTTTCTTCTGGAGATGATGTCCCTTGGGATGTTCTCTGTGCAGGAGGTGAGCCACTTGTAAAAGGTGGAAAAGTTGATGTGGTCACCGCTGTGAGTGTGGTTTGAGGTGAGCTGCTAGTGTCCATGCTTCCAGTGTGGAGGTTCTGAGAAGATGCTGGCAATGCCTGAGTAGAAATGATGGGAGATGTCACATTTGATAGGAAATTTGGAGAACTTGTCTTTGAGCCAGAAGTACTGTGAGAAACAGTTGGAGTTGTGGTCCCTGTATTTTCTGAGGTGGAATCTGTAGAGGATACTTCTATTGGGACCTCTGATGGGGTTTGGTTTGGGTTGGTGACGCTGGAAGTATATAGGTTGGTTGTTTCTTCTGTAGATGGTATCCCTTGCGATGCTGTCTGTGCAGGAGGTGAGTCACTTGTGGAAGTTGGAAGAGTTGATGTGGTCACCTCTGTGTTTGTGCTTTGAGGTGTGCTGCTGGTCTCTGTATTTCCAGGGTGGCCATTCTGAGATGTTAACAATTCCTTAGTAACAGTGATAGGTGATGTCACCGTTGACAGCACATTTGTTGAATTCGTCATTAAGTCATCAGTATTGACAGGTACAGAACTTTGAGAAAAAGTTGGCAATGTGGTCTCAGTATTTCCTAAGGTGTAATCTGTAGAGAATGCTACTGTTGATACCTCTGATATGGTTGGTTTGGTATTGGTGACACTGGAGGTGGAGAAGTTGGTAGTTTCTTCTGGAGATGGTATCCCTTGGGATGCTGTCTGTTCAGGAGTTGAGCCACTTGGGGAAGGAGAAAAACTTGATGTGGTCACCTCTGTGTGAGTGGTTTGAGGTGTGCTGCTGGTCTCCATTGTTTTAGTGTGGAGGTTCTGAGAAGATGTTAACAATTCCTGAGTAGCAGTGATGGGTGTTGTTACTGTTGACAGGACATTTGGTGAATTTGTCATTGACACATCAGTATTAACAGGTATAGAACTTTGAGAAGCTGTTGGGGATGTAACTCCTATATTTCCTGAGATGGAATCTGTAGAGAATGCTGCTGTTGAAGCATCTCGTATGGTTGGTTTGGTGTTGGTGACTATTGAGGTGAATACATTGGTTGTTTCTTCTGGAGAAGATGTCCCCTGGGATGTTGTCTGTGCAGGAGGTGAGCCACTTGTGAAAGGTGAAAAAGTCGATGTGGTCACCGCTGTGAGTGTGGTTTGAGGCGTGCTGCTGGTCTCCATGCTTCCAGTGTGGAGGTTCTGAGAAGCCTCAGTAGCAGTGATGGGTGTTGTCACCATTGACAAGACATTTGTGGAACTTGTTTTTGACACATCAGTATTGACAGGTGTGGAACTTGGAGAAACTGTTGGCGATGTGATTCCTGTATTTCCTGAGGAGAACTCTATAGAGAATGCTGTTGTTGGCTCCTCTGACATGGTTGAGTTTGTGTTGAGGATGGTGGTAGTGAGAAGATCAGTTGTTTCAGCTGGAGATGATGTCCCATGGGACAGTGTCTGTGCAGGAGGTGAGCCACTTGGGGAAGGAGAAAAACTTGATGTGGTCACCTCTGTGTGTGTGGTTTGAGGTGTGCTGCTGGTCTCCATAGTTTCAGTGTGGAGGCTCTGAGAAGATGTTGGCAATTCCCGAGTGGAAGTGATGGGTGTTGTGACTGTTGACAGGACATTTGGTGAATTTGTCATTGACACTTCAGTGTTGACAGGTATAGTACTTTCAGAAACTGTTGGCGATGTGATTCCTGTATTTCCTGGGGTGGAATCTGTAGATAATGGTATTGTTTGAACCTCTGATATGGTTGGTTTGGTGTTGGTGAAACCAGAGATGAATACATTGGCTGTTTCTTCTGGAGATGATGTCCCTTGGGATGTTCTCTGTGCAGGAGGTGAGCCACTTGTAAAAGGTGGAAAAGTTGATGTGGTCACCGCTGTGAGTGTGGTTTGAGGTGAGCTGCTAGTGTCCATGCTTCCAGTGTGGAGGTTCTGAGAAGATGCTGGCAATGCCTGAGTAGAAATGATGGGAGATGTCACATTTGATAGGAAATTTGGAGAACTTGTCTTTGAGCCAGAAGTACTGTGAGAAACAGTTGGAGTTGTGGTCCCTGTATTTTCTGAGGTGGAATCTGTAGAGGATACTTCTATTGGGACCTCTGATGGGGTTTGGTTTGGGTTGGTGACGCTGGAAGTATATAGGTTGGTTGTTTCTTCTGTAGATGGTATCCCTTGCGATGCTGTCTGTGCAGGAGGTGAGTCACTTGTGGAAGTTGGAAGAGTTGATGTGGTCACCTCTGTGTTTGTGCTTTGAGGTGTGCTGCTGGTCTCTGTATTTCCAGGGTGGCCATTCTGAGATGTTAACAATTCCTTAGTAACAGTGATAGGTGATGTCACCGTTGACAGCACATTTGTTGAATTCGTCATTAAGTCATCAGTATTGACAGGTACAGAACTTTGAGAAAAAGTTGGCAATGTGGTCTCAGTATTTCCTAAGGTGTAATCTGTAGAGAATGCTACTGTTGATACCTCTGATATGGTTGGTTTGGTATTGGTGACACTGGAGGTGGAGAAGTTGGTAGTTTCTTCTGGAGATGGTATCCCTTGGGATGCTGTCTGTTCAGGAGTTGAGCCACTTGGGGAAGGAGAAAAACTTGATGTGGTCACCTCTGTGTGAGTGGTTTGAGGTGTGCTGCTGGTCTCCATTGTTTTAGTGTGGAGGTTCTGAGAAGATGTTAACAATTCCTGAGTAGCAGTGATGGGTGTTGTTACTGTTGACAGGACATTTGGTGAATTTGTCATTGACACATCAGTATTAACAGGTATAGAACTTTGAGAAGCTGTTGGGGATGTAACTCCTATATTTCCTGAGATGGAATCTGTAGAGAATGCTGCTGTTGAAGCATCTCGTATGGTTGGTTTGGTGTTGGTGACTATTGAGGTGAATACATTGGTTGTTTCTTCTGGAGAAGATGTCCCCTGGGATGTTGTCTGTGCAGGAGGTGAGCCACTTGTGAAAGGTGAAAAAGTCGATGTGGTCACCGCTGTGAGTGTGGTTTGAGGCGTGCTGCTGGTCTCCATGCTTCCAGTGTGGAGGTTCTGAGAAGCCTCAGTAGCAGTGATGGGTGTTGTCACCATTGACAAGACATTTGTGGAACTTGTTTTTGACACATCAGTATTGACAGGTGTGGAACTTGGAGAAACTGTTGGCGATGTGATTCCTGTATTTCCTGAGGAGAACTCTATAGAGAATGCTGTTGTTGGCTCCTCTGACATGGTTGAGTTTGTGTTGAGGATGGTGGTAGTGAGAAGATCAGTTGTTTCAGCTGGAGATGATGTCCCATGGGACAGTGTCTGTGCAGGAGGTGAGCCACTTGGGGAAGGAGAAAAACTTGATGTGGTCACCTCTGTGTGTGTGGTTTGAGGTGTGCTGCTGGTCTCCATAGTTTCAGTGTGGAGGCTCTGAGAAGATGTTGGCAATTCCCGAGTGGAAGTGATGGGTGTTGTGACTGTTGACAGGACATTTGGTGAATTTGTCATTGACACTTCAGTGTTGACAGGTATAGTGCTTTCAGAAACTGTTGGCGATGTGATTCCTGTATTTCCTGGGGTGGAATCTGTAGATAATGGTATTGTTTGAACCTCTGATATGGTTGGTTTGGTGTTGGTGAAACCAGAGATGAATACATTGGCTGTTTCTTCTGGAGATGATGTCCCTTGGGATGTTCTCTGTGCAGGAGGTGAGCCACTTGTAAAAGGTGGAAAAGTTGATGTGGTCACCGCTGTGAGTGTGGTTTGAGGTGAGCTGCTAGTGTCCATGCTTCCAGTGTGGAGGTTCTGAGAAGATGCTGGCAATGCCTGAGTAGAAATGATGGGAGATGTCACATTTGATAGGAAATTTGGAGAACTTGTCTTTGAGCCAGAAGTACTGTGAGAAACAGTTGGAGTTGTGGTCCCTGTATTTTCTGAGGTGGAATCTGTAGAGGATACTTCTATTGGGACCTCTGATGGGGTTTGGTTTGGGTTGGTGACGCTGGAAGTATATAGGTTGGTTGTTTCTTCTGTAGATGGTATCCCTTGCGATGCTGTCTGTGCAGGAGGTGAGTCACTTGTGGAAGTTGGAAGAGTTGATGTGGTCACCTCTGTGTTTGTGCTTTGAGGTGTGCTGCTGGTCTCTGTATTTCCAGGGTGGCCATTCTGAGATGTTAACAATTCCTTAGTAACAGTGATAGGTGATGTCACCGTTGACAGCACATTTGTTGAATTCGTCATTAAGTCATCAGTATTGACAGGTACAGAACTTTGAGAAAAAGTTGGCAATGTGGTCTCAGTATTTCCTAAGGTGTAATCTGTAGAGAATGCTACTGTTGATACCTCTGATATGGTTGGTTTGGTATTGGTGACACTGGAGGTGGAGAAGTTGGTAGTTTCTTCTGGAGATGGTATCCCTTGGGATGCTGTCTGTTCAGGAGTTGAGCCACTTGGGGAAGGAGAAAAACTTGATGTGGTCACCTCTGTGTGAGTGGTTTGAGGTGTGCTGCTGGTCTCCATTGTTTTAGTGTGGAGGTTCTGAGAAGATGTTAACAATTCCTGAGTAGCAGTGATGGGTGTTGTTACTGTTGACAGGACATTTGGTGAATTTGTCATTGACACATCAGTATTAACAGGTATAGAACTTTGAGAAGCTGTTGGGGATGTAACTCCTATATTTCCTGAGATGGAATCTGTAGAGAATGCTGCTGTTGAAGCATCTCGTATGGTTGGTTTGGTGTTGGTGACTATTGAGGTGAATACATTGGTTGTTTCTTCTGGAGAAGATGTCCCCTGGGATGTTGTCTGTGCAGGAGGTGAGCCACTTGTGAAAGGTGAAAAAGTCGATGTGGTCACCGCTGTGAGTGTGGTTTGAGGCGTGCTGCTGGTCTCCATGCTTCCAGTGTGGAGGTTCTGAGAAGCCTCAGTAGCAGTGATGGGTGTTGTCACCATTGACAAGACATTTGTGGAACTTGTTTTTGACACATCAGTATTGACAGGTGTGGAACTTGGAGAAACTGTTGGCGATGTGATTCCTGTATTTCCTGAGGAGAACTCTATAGAGAATGCTGTTGTTGGCTCCTCTGACATGGTTGAGTTTGTGTTGAGGATGGTGGTAGTGAGAAGATCAGTTGTTTCAGCTGGAGATGATGTCCCATGGGACAGTGTCTGTGCAGGAGGTGAGCCACTTGGGGAAGGAGAAAAACTTGATGTGGTCACCTCTGTGTGTGTGGTTTGAGGTGTGCTGCTGGTCTCCATAGTTTCAGTGTGGAGGCTCTGAGAAGATGTTGGCAATTCCCGAGTGGAAGTGATGGGTGTTGTGACTGTTGACAGGACATTTGGTGAATTTGTCATTGACACTTCAGTGTTGACAGGTATAGTGCTTTCAGAAACTGTTGGCGATGTGATTCCTGTATTTCCTGGGGTGGAATCTGTAGATAATGGTATTGTTTGAACCTCTGATATGGTTGGTTTGGTGTTGGTGAAACCAGAGATGAATACATTGGCTGTTTCTTCTGGAGATGATGTCCCTTGGGATGTTCTCTGTGCAGGAGGTGAGCCACTTGTAAAAGGTGGAAAAGTTGATGTGGTCACCGCTGTGAGTGTGGTTTGAGGTGAGCTGCTAGTGTCCATGCTTCCAGTGTGGAGGTTCTGAGAAGATGCTGGCAATGCCTGAGTAGAAATGATGGGAGATGTCACATTTGATAGGAAATTTGGAGAACTTGTCTTTGAGCCAGAAGTACTGTGAGAAACAGTTGGAGTTGTGGTCCCTGTATTTTCTGAGGTGGAATCTGTAGAGGATACTTCTATTGGGACCTCTGATGGGGTTTGGTTTGGGTTGGTGACGCTGGAAGTATATAGGTTGGTTGTTTCTTCTGTAGATGGTATCCCTTGCGATGCTGTCTGTGCAGGAGGTGAGTCACTTGTGGAAGTTGGAAGAGTTGATGTGGTCACCTCTGTGTTTGTGCTTTGAGGTGTGCTGCTGGTCTCTGTATTTCCAGGGTGGCCATTCTGAGATGTTAACAATTCCTTAGTAACAGTGATAGGTGATGTCACCGTTGACAGCACATTTGTTGAATTCGTCATTAAGTCATCAGTATTGACAGGTACAGAACTTTGAGAAAAAGTTGGCAATGTGGTCTCAGTATTTCCTAAGGTGTAATCTGTAGAGAATGCTGCTGTTGATACCTCTGATATGGTTGGTTTGGTATTGGTGACACTGGAGGTGGAGAAGTTGGTAGTTTCTTCTGGAGATGGTATCCCTTGGGATGCTGTCTGTTCAGGAGTTGAGCCACTTGGGGAAGGAGAAAAACTTGATGTGCTCACCTCTGTGTGAGTGGTTTGAGGTGTGCTGCTGGTCTCCATTGTTTTAGTGTGGAGGTTCTGAGAAGATGTTAACAATTCCTGAGTAGCAGTGATGGGTGTTGTTACTGTTGACAGGACATTTGGTGAATTTGTCATTGACACATCAGTATTAACAGGTATAGAACTTTGAGAAGCTGTCGGGGATGTAACTCCCATATTTCCTGAGATGGAATCTGTAGAGAATGCTGCTGTTGAAGCATCTCGTATGGTTGGTTTGGTGTTGGTGACTATTGAGGTGAATACATTGGTTGTTTCTTCTGGAGAAGATGTCCCCTGGGATGTTGTCTGTGCAGGAGGTGAGCCACTTGTGAAAGGTGAAAAAGTCGATGTGGTCACCGCTGTGAGTGTGGTTTGAGGCGTGCTGCTGGTCTCCATGCTTCCAGTGTGGAGGTTCTGAGAAGCCTCAGTAGCAGTGATGGGTGTTGTCACCATTGACAAGACATTTGTGGAACTTGTTTTTGACACATCAGTATTGACAGGTGTGGAACTTGGAGAAACTGTTGGCGATGTGATTCCTGTATTTCCTGAGGAGAACTCTATAGAGAATGCTGTTGTTGGCTCCTCTGACATGGTTGAGTTTGTGTTGAGGATGGTGGTAGTGAGAAGATCAGTTGTTTCAGCTGGAGATGATGTCCCATGGGACAGTGTCTGTGCAGGAGGTGAGCCACTTGGGGAAGGAGAAAAACTTGATGTGGTCACCTCTGTGTGTGTGGTTTGAGGTGTGCTGCTGGTCTCCATAGTTTCAGTGTGGAGGCTCTGAGAAGATGCTGGCAATTCCCGAGTGGAAGTGATGGGTGTTGTGACTGTTGACAGGACATTTGGTGAATTTGTCATTGACACTTCAGTGTTGACAGGTATAGTACTTTCAGAAACTGTTGGTGATGTGATTCCTGTATTTCCTGGGGTGGAATCTGTAGATAATGGTATTGTTTGAACCTCTGATATGGTTGGTTTGGTGTTGGTGAAACCAGAGATGAATACATTGGCTGTTTCTTCTGGAGATGATGTCCCTTGGGATGTTCTCTGTGCAGGAGGTGAGCCACTTGTAAAAGGTGGAAAAGTTGATGTGGTCACCGCTGTGAGTGTGGTTTGAGGTGAGCTGCTAGTGTCCATGCTTCCAGTGTGGAGGTTCTGAGAAGATGCTGGCAATGCCTGAGTAGAAATGATGGGAGATGTCACATTTGATAGGAAATTTGGAGAACTTGTCTTTGAGCCAGAAGTACTGTGAGAAACAGTTGGAGTTGTGGTCCCTGTATTTTCTGAGGTGGAATCTGTAGAGGATACTTCTATTGGGACCTCTGATGGGGTTTGGTTTGGGTTGGTGACGCTGGAAGTATATAGGTTGGTTGTTTCTTCTGTAGATGGTATCCCTTGCGATGCTGTCTGTGCAGGAGGTGAGTCACTTGTGGAAGTTGGAAGAGTTGATGTGGTCACCTCTGTGTTTGTGCTTTGAGGTGTGCTGCTGGTCTCTGTATTTCCAGGGTGGCCATTCTGAGATGTTAACAATTCCTTAGTAACAGTGATAGGTGATGTCACCGTTGACAGCACATTTGTTGAATTCGTCATTAAGTCATCAGTATTGACAGGTACAGAACTTTGAGAAAAAGTTGGCAATGTGGTCTCAGTATTTCCTAAGGTGTAATCTGTAGAGAATGCTGCTGTTGATACCTCTGATATGGTTGGTTTGGTATTGGTGACACTGGAGGTGGAGAAGTTGGTAGTTTCTTCTGGAGATGGTATCCCTTGGGATGCTGTCTGTTCAGGAGTTGAGCCACTTGGGGAAGGAGAAAAACTTGATGTGCTCACCTCTGTGTGAGTGGTTTGAGGTGTGCTGCTGGTCTCCATTGTTTTAGTGTGGAGGTTCTGAGAAGATGTTAACAATTCCTGAGTAGCAGTGATGGGTGTTGTTACTGTTGACAGGACATTTGGTGAATTTGTCATTGACACATCAGTATTAACAGGTATAGAACTTTGAGAAGCTGTCGGGGATGTAACTCCTATATTTCCTGAGATGGAATCTGTAGAGAATGCTGCTGTTGAAGCATCTCGTATGGTTGGTTTGGTGTTGGTGACTATTGAGGTGAATACATTGGTTGTTTCTTCTGGAGAAGATGTCCCCTGGGATGTTGTCTGTGCAGGAGGTGAGCCACTTGTGAAAGGTGAAAAAGTCGATGTGGTCACCGCTGTGAGTGTGGTTTGAGGCGTGCTGCTGGTCTCCATGCTTCCAGTGTGGAGGTTCTGAGAAGCCTCAGTAGCAGTGATGGGTGTTGTCACCATTGACAAGACATTTGTGGAACTTGTTTTTGACACATCAGTATTGACAGGTGTGGAACTTGGAGAAACTGTTGGCGATGTGATTCCTGTATTTCCTGAGGAGAACTCTATAGAGAATGCTGTTGTTGGCTCCTCTGACATGGTTGAGTTTGTGTTGAGGATGGTGGTAGTGAGAAGATCAGTTGTTTCAGCTGGAGATGATGTCCCATGGGACAGTGTCTGTGCAGGAGGTGAGCCACTTGGGGAAGGAGAAAAACTTGATGTGGTCACCTCTGTGTGTGTGGTTTGAGGTGTGCTGCTGGTCTCCATAGTTTCAGTGTGGAGGCTCTGAGAAGATGTTGGCAATTCCCGAGTGGAAGTGATGGGTGTTGTGACTGTTGACAGGACATTTGGTGAATTTGTCATTGACACTTCAGTGTTGACAGGTATAGTGCTTTCAGAAACTGTTGGCGATGTGATTCCTGTATTTCCTGGGGTGGAATCTGTAGATAATGGTATTGTTTGAACCTCTGATATGGTTGGTTTGGTGTTGGTGAAACCAGAGATGAATACATTGGCTGTTTCTTCTGGAGATGATGTCCCTTGGGATGTTCTCTGTGCAGGAGTTGAGCCACTTGTGAAAGTTGGAAAAGTCGATGTGGTCATCGCTGTGAGTGTGGTTTGAGGTGTGCTGCTGGTCCCCATTCTTTCAGTGTCCAGAGTCAGTGAAGATGTTGTCAGTTCCTGAGTGGAAGTGATGGGTGTTGACACAGTGGGCAATTCCTGTGGCGACGATGTCATTGAGAACTGTGTGGTAGCAGATGGAGAACTTGGAGTAACTACAGCACTTGTGTGCCCTGTGTCTACTGAGGGGGTTTCAGTGGAGGGCAAATTTGGAGGTGAACTGCTCCTGGTGTGAGCATACACAGAGGTTGTGTCTCCAGGAGTGGGAGTTCTCTGCAACTCTGCTTGTGTCACAGTGGTTCCCCTAGGGGAAGATGAATGAGTTGATGAGGACACTTCTGTTATGGGATTTTCAGATGGTCTGCTTGTCACACTGCTCTCAGTGTGGTCATTGTGAGAAGATGTTGCCAATTCCTGACTAGAGGTGATGGGAATTGGCACTGTTGAAAGTTCCTGTGGCGAAGATGTAACTGAGGCTTCTGTGTCAGTCCCTGAAGAGCTTTGGATAATGTCTGGAGCTGTGCTTCCAGGAGCAGAACCTGTAGAGGGTGCTGTGGTGTTCACCTCTGATGTGGTTGGGATGGTGTTGATGTTTGAAGAGGCCATGTTGGTTTTTTCACCTGGAGATGATATTGCTTGTGACATTGTCTGTGAAGGAGTTGAATAACTTGAGGGAGGAGAAAAACTTGATGTGGTCACCTCTGTAAAGGTGGTTTGAGGTGTGCTGCTAGTCTCTGTGCTTTTAGTGTGGAGGTTCTGAGAAGATGTTGGCCATTCCTGGGTAGCCGTGAAGGGTGTTTTCACTGTTGATAGGACATTTGGTGAGTTTGTATTTGAGACATCAGTAATGACTGGTATGGGAGTTTGAGATACTGTTGAAGGTTTGCTTCCTGTATCTTCTGAGGTGGAGTCTGTGGAGCTTTCTGTAATGGTCACTTGTGAAGTGATGAGAGCGGAGCTTCCACCACTGAAAGCAGATGAGGTAGCTGAATCTCCTGATGACAAAATCCCTGTCGGTGTCAGGGTAGATCCACTTTGGGAGGTCACATCTGTAAGGGTACTGGTTTGTGATTCACTGAATGTCTCTGTGCTTCCTGTCTCATGGGTTGGAGACTGTGAGGGTGATTCCTGAGTAGAGGTCTTGGATGTTGTTCCTGTGGAAATTTCCTTTGTTGTAGCTGTTTTTGATGTTTTTGTGGTGACTGGATTGGACCTTTGGTTAACCTCTCTTGATGTGTGTCCTGTATTTCTTGAAGCCATATCTGTAGGTGTTGCTGAGCTCATTTGAGGTGTGCTGGTGACAGTGTAAAAGGATGTGCTGATATCGTTACTCAGTGATGACATAGTCTGTGTTGTTGATGAAGAAAATGATGTCGCGAAAATTCCTTTAAATAAAAGAAACAATCACTTTATACAGTAATTTTTGTAAGGCATTTTTTTCTTTAACCATAGCAGTGAATTCTGCTCAAAGGCGCACACCAATTTACAGATAAATATTGCAGTAAGTAACTTGAATGGGGTTTTGCTTTCAGTATAGATGTTTCTGAAAGATAGTGACATCTGATGGATCCCGTGAAACCCTTTTTCTGCATGTCAATCTTATAAGCCAAGAATTATAGGTTGTAGTCTACAATACTACTTCATTCAAATACACACACAGATCATGTGATCAAAAACTTTCCAATTAAAGCTGTGCAGGAGGGTGGTTTGAACAGCATAGCAAATAATATCTTTCTGTTAGTATTTTTTATTGTGAGGAAGAAGAAAGTCAACATAATCACAGATCTAGCTTGCCTCAGTTCCATTCATCCTCAGCAAGACAGGTGGAAAATATTATTTTTAGGTTTTCTTCTTTCTCAGAGGAAAGGGACCCAGAAAAAGAAAAGTACCTAGGACTTGTGAGAGTCATAATGGAAGGCGATAAAAGAAAATCACAAGAGAGGGTTAGAGGACATGTTGTGGGATATTACTTTAACTATGTAAAGATAGGTTATTTTTTATGTTGTGGGATATTACTTTATGTAAAGATGTGTTACTCTTCTTTATGCTGCATTTTTATTAATTATGGAAGCTCAGCCTTAGTTTAGGGTTGTTTCTAACTAGTTCTTACAACTTAAACTAACCCATAGTTTTTAATCTATGTTATACTTGGCTCAGTTATCCTTACTCTGTCCTGCCCATCCTGCTTCTTTCACATCTGACTGGTGACTCACCTTTCTTTTTCCCTGAGACCTCTCTATTCCCAGAGGTCCTGACAAGCCTCTTCCCACCTACCTGTTGGCCATTCATACGCTGCATTTGTTTAACTAGGTAAAGATGTGTTACTGTTTTTACGCTGCCTGCCTAAGGCACCTGATTGGTCTAATGAAAAGCTGAATGGTAAATAGCTAAGCAGTAGAGGGAGAGGTTGGGCAGGCAGGCAGAGAGGATTAATAGGAGGAAAACCCTAGGCTTGGGAGCAGAGAGAATGAGGGAGAAAGAGAGGGAAGCACCCGGGGCCAGCCAGCTGCCTGTCAATGAGCTATGGAGTAGAAAATACAGAATAAAGGTTAAAAAAAGTCCCAAGGCAAAACATCTCTATGAAGAGAAAAGGGTTAATTTAAGTTTAAAAAGCTAGCCAAAAACTAACCTCAAATCTTGCCTAACAGTCACAACTAATAATAAGCATCCATGTCATAATTTAGGAGCTAGTTAGTGGCAAAAAAAAAAGCAAGCAAACAAACAACAACAACAACCCCCTGCTACAAGGACACCCTATTCACACCATTTTATCTACAAGTAGTCACTCTGCTCTGGAATTGTACAGTGTATGCGACCTATAGAGTCCCTCAGGGCAGCTTATTTTCACAGGAGAGAGAGAGAGAGGGAGAGAGAGAGAGAGAGAGAGAGAGAGAGAGAGAGAGGAGAGAGAGGAGATAGATGCATGCACAAACAAACAAGGTTGAGCAGTAGAGGGTACAAACACCATGTGTGGGTTAAGAACATAGCAACTGCTTAATATCCAAAGCGTACTTACATCCACCTCACAACATCTGCACAAATAAGGGCCACTATCCCTGCTTTCTACACAAGTAGGGGCCTCTTAGAGACCCGGCTTTTCCAAATTTTTCAGCTCTAAAAACCAGGACTACAATACCCAAGTTCCTAACCTCCACGTCAAAGTTCTCCATGTCCTTCAGTGCCATGTTGTGTAGGAAGTTAAGGACTACCAGGCTGAGACTTGTCGACCTGGAGTCTTCCTGGTGCTGTCCTGCCTTGCCAGAGGGGTGGCCCAGCGATGTCAAGGGATCAGAACATCTGGGTGCTGACAGTGTAGAAAAAGGTTTCCCTGTTGCTGTTTCCCTTTCACTGGATTCCTGGCGTCTGTGTTGTCGATGCTGCTCCTTCTCACCCCCTCCCCAAGGGAGCAGTTAGGACCGAGCAACATCTGGCACCCAGCACATGATTTGAATTTGCTTGACTGTTCAGAGTTCTTTTTTTCTTTCCGTCGTGGCTGTAATTTTTTTTTTCCCAGAACAGGTTCTAGTTGCCTTCCTCTCCTCACCCGCAGTGCTGGATGGTGTGCCTGACATGGTGTAAATCAACGAGAAGGCCCCTCCATGTTGTGTGTTCTCAGTCCCTTCAGTGGGAAAGTGTTGGGACCCCTGTACTTGACTTTTTTGTGATGTCTGTCACATTTGTCTGCCTGTCTGATTGGAAACTCCTAGGTCATATAGTGAGTTTGAAGTCAACCTCAACTACGTAATGAAACTATTTATCCAAACTCCACCCCAAAATGAAGAGAGAAAAAAATCCTAGAGCTGGGACTGTGGCTCAGTGATAAAACACGAACTTTAGAAGTGTGAAGCCCTGGGCTGTCTATGCCAGGATTATAACGAGCAGGACTTTTCTGACTTGAGGGTATCTTCCATGAGATGAAAAAGGCAGAATTAACCTGGAGTTGTGAGCAGACCATGGTGACTTCCACAAGGGGAGGCAGTGGCCTTACTACGGAGGTAACACTTTGCTCTTGGGTTACGGCAGTCCCCGCTAGACTCAGGGAATCTATTCCAAGAACTCAGTGGACGCCTGAAACTTTGAACAATAGCCCCCTATATAATAGAATGATTTTCCCTATACGTACACATTATGTTAAAGTTTAATGTATAAGTTAGGCATAAGAAGAGGTTAGCAACAATAGTAACATAGAACAATAATAGTAACTTTGTAATGTTATTAAAAACCTATGAATTATTCATTTCTGGAATTTTCCATCTAATGAGCTTAGACTTAAATTGACTCCAGGAAGATATTTTATAGCATTGTTATTTTTTGAACTGAAATGGAATTTCTCCTTTTTCCTTGTGCTGGAAATGGAAACAAGAGCATTGGGAATTCCAGACAAGCCCTGTACTCACCTCCGGGCTTCAAGCCTTTTTTCAGCCTGAGCGCTTACAAGTAGTTGGAAAGCAGCCAGCTCACAGAGAGATGAACTGCCA